TGTAACAATAGTGAACCGTAGAAGCTATTCACACTCAGTGACCCAAATTAAACCCACCTCAGGACCCTCAGCATGCTGACCATCTTAGACACACACACACACACACACACAACATACTTATACTGCTCTGAACTGCAGCAGAACATAACCGCACACACAGGATTTTTTGGAGGGGGGGTGTGCAAACAACTGTTGCCATGGCAACCCCCAGGGCTGGGGGTGCTGGAGAAGGACTAAAGCACAAAAGCTCATCGTTAGAGAGAAGAAGAGAGAGAGACTTCAGAGTCCTCACACACACACACACACACACACACACACACACACACACACACACACACACACAGCCGGTAAACACTCATTTATATTCTCTGATCTGAATAGCTCTGTAGTAACATCTGCTGTGATTAACAATCTCCCCTGAGAGTGTGTGTGTGTGTGTGTGTTGCATGAAAATGTCCTCACTTTTGTAGTAAAACCAGTGAGAAAGTTCTAATCTACAGCAGCAGCAAAACGGCTCTGACACTTACACACCTATTATATGGGACGTATAGAGACATTATATACAGAAAATTAATATGGGACATTTAACACCAGAACATGAGAAGGAGTGTGTATCATCACACACAACATCCAAACAGAGACAAAAGGCCCTAAACTCTTATCAAACGTGCTGTAATATCAGCCACTCCTTCCACCATAAAAAGTAGAAGCCTTTAGCGTTTCAGACAGAGCTATAAAACTGTCTCAGTGTCAGCGTCAGCTTTTTCAGAGCTGATGAAACTGAACGTGGTTCTGTTTGTAAAGCGTTCGCAGATCATCTTGTTTGCTGAACTGTACTCTGTTGGATTCTGACTGATTCCCGTTTTAGTTGTTCAGCTGTCGACTGAAAAGCTTGCTTAGAATCAACAACGGGTTCAGAGTCCTGCAGTCACCCTCTTCCTCAGAATCTGACCAAACATGTTGTAGGTCAGTATAGACGTTATAGAAGTTATATAATGTGTCTATTTTCTGTTTTTTAATGAGCTGAAGTAGAAAGCATAAAGTGATTAATGTAGCAACTGGTGCTCAGCAGAATCACATAGAACACACACACATAAATTAGTCACCTTGCATGTTTAAGGTGGTAGTAATTTCAGGCTTCTGCAGATGGCGCTGCACAAGCATGATGGGGCTATGAATACCTGCAGGGTATGCAAAGGGATTCACAGATTGAGAAAAGGTGGCACAGTGCAGTGAATGTGTCATTCAATGTGTGGAAAATGGGTCACAAGACAGATGTTAATGAATGATTGCATTTGAGCGGCCAAAGGCCACAGTGTGAAGGAAGTAGCTGAATATGCAGGTGTATCGAAGCGTACGGTCATACGGGCAGTGGCAAAAATCCCTGTCTACAGGAAATTCTCATCAGAATTGTGGCAGAAAGACAAAACTGATGGACAGGGACCAGGAGCATGTTTCATGGTTTGTGAATCAAAATTGCTTCGCTTCCAGGCAAGAATTGCTTCTAGAAGTCAATGCAGGTTCTTTACAACCAATTTCTGAAAGAACTCTCCACAGGGAACTGCATACCATGAACATATGGAGCAGAGCGGCACGCAAGAGGCCTTTGCTCACTTCTGCTCACAAAGTTTCCAGGTTACAGTGGACAAAGAGACAAAAACTGAACTGATCATGACTGGAAACGTGTTATCTGGTCAGATGAATCTGGTTTCTGCCTGTAGGTAAATGATGCTGGGCGTTGTGTTCATCGTGGACCTCAGGAAGCCTTCAATGAGGACTGTGTACAAGGTGTGGTTCAAGCTGGAGGAGCTCTATGATGTTCTGGGGGTGGATTAATTACGTGGAAATCCCCAGATTTAAATACTCTTGAAAATCTCTGGGAATACCTGGAAGAGCGAGTAAGACGCCAAGGAAGGCTCCACGAAATCTGGCCAAAACTGCACAATTCTTTGATGCAAGAGCGGCTGAATATCGATGTCGCCTACATCCAGAAACTTGTCCAGTCCAGACCAAATTGAATCTTTTGTCCGGTGAGCTTATATGGCACATATCAGTTTAGTCAATATATACTGCTTTGCTGAAATATCAGATGATATTGATGGCCCAGTTTCAGCAGCATCAGCGAAAATATTGGCAATAATTTTGGTTGCAATCTACCAACATGACAAACCCTTAGAAGGCTCTAAGTGCCACTGAGGATCCCAATATAAGCCACTCTGTCTACAACTATATAATCATAACTATGTGTACCTAGAAATAACACACTGTTCATTCCTATGACCCCACATCTTAAAGAAGACTACACCTGTGTGTAAGGGCTCTTTTTAGCTCCTTTTCCCAGTTGTGGAGCTCAAAATCAGAACATCCCTATGGCAGCCTGGGGGAGGCTGTTCTATTCCTGAGTATAATGCATGACCGTAACCTTCCACTGTTGACCCCAATCTCACCTAGACAACAAACATGCCTCACATCCACACATACACACACCAGACCTGTCTGACCAACAGTACTAATAATCTGTACAAATGAACAGTGAACAATTCACTGTATGAAGGGTTGAATACTGAATATCTCTCATGCCAAGTTAACTCCACAGTATGAGTGCATAAGCACTGTGGTGAGAATCTGAAGGTGGTTTATTGAACTGCATCAATTACGGAATATTAGATTGAATTATAAACTCATAAAATGCAGCTTTATTTTTCAGCTATTAGACCAAGACATTTTATTCATGAGCTATTATGAATGAATGAGTATCTTTTATGAATTATTCAGTAAGTGCTATAAAATATTCAGTAACTAGAGCAAATTATAATAATGAGTTAGATGAGCTAGCTTTAAAGAGCAGCTTTAAATAATTCAGTAGCGACTACGAATTATTCAGTATCTACTACGAATGATTTAGTATTTACTTCAAATTATTGAGCAACTACTACAAATTATTCAGCAACTACTATGTATTATTTAATAACGTCTATATTTGTTTCAGTAACTGCTCTAAAGTATTTGGTTATTACTATAAAACTAATATGCAGGTTCTGTAGTTTCGTTGCTTCCACCTCCACCTCCTTGTTATAACAGCTTCCTTATTCCAACATACCTGTATTATTCCACTGACCTCAGGTTGCCAACAGCTCCAGGCTGCTGGAACTACTTTCTATGGCGGAAGAAACGGCCAAAGACTTTGCTTTACTGTTGTCTTTATTTTATAAACTGCTGAATAAAAGCAACAAAACACTTTCACGAGTGGATGAATCGCCTATAATTACCATGGCAACCTATGTTGCGTGCCTGACCTGCTTCTAGGCCAGCTAAATTTGGGATTTCAGATCATAAACAGCTCTTGGACCAATCAGGCCAAGCCTCTGACCAATCAGAGACAGAGCTGGTCATTTTACGAGCTTCTCATAATGTCCATGTTATTCAGCAGAACGATTCCAGCATCGCATCTTCTACAAAGAGCTTCACCAGCAACTAACAGTTACAGTTAACGACTGATCTACACAGTGAATGAGTGCAGCAGAGAGGAAGGAGAGTGGAAGGAAGGGGGGGGGGGGTTTGTGCACCAGCTGGGTCGTCGGAAGACGTCCTGTGTCCTGTGCATCTGCGCACATACGTGTACGTGTTGCGGTAGGAAGCGATGTTTGGATTTATACCGTCCTGCAGGGTGAGGGTCAGCAGGAAGAGCTAACGGCCTTCCTCTTACAGTCATCAATCACAAAATAGCAACATAAATCAGATAAAAATTAAAACCACACCGAAGATCCACGTCTGCTGTACAGCACCAACATATTTCAGACCTTCAGAGTGGTTTGGTGTGAAATGGTTTCAGATGTCTTTACAGTGGTGGTGATAGGAACCAGGGGTCGCCATGACTACAACACTAATATAGACATTTTATTTACTATCAAAACCACCAGTGAACCTACACGAGTCTTCTGAGTTTATATGGAACGATCATGATGGTAAAATATAAATAAATCTCAAAACTATACCAGGCAGTGAATTCATAACCATGTTTGTAATAACTCACTGTGAAAGAGCTTTTAGAGGTGGACATCTGGTTCCTATCACCACCACTGTGAACAGTTCTGACTCTGTAAGTTTCTCTAGAACAGAACGTTTCACACCAAACCATTTTGAACGACTCTTTACATCGTAACCTTTAAATTATGCAGGTATTTTGAAGCAAACCTCCTTTAAACCTATAATATTTGTGAAGTTTCCCATGTTGAATGTATTTCAGTCATGTTTTATGTTAAAAATCAGGATTTTACTCACATTTAAAAACAATCACAGTAACTCAAATCACCCAGAACTCAAAGAGCACCAACAGAAACAATACAGTAATAAAGATAGTAAAGCCATCGCCTATAACTCTCACTCTCACCGCACTGTGATGCAGTCAAAACACACACACACACACACACACACACACTAACAATTAGTGTGTTCACCTGCTGAGACAGAACATATAGTGAAAAAAACATAACATTACTGAAGAGGACTAGAATTAGCCACACGCTAAATGAAACCTCTCAGTTCACTAATACTTCACCTACAATTACCCTCAGAGAGAGAGCGAGAGAGAGAGAGAGAGAGAGCGAGAGAAATTAAACTCGTGATTCAGTTGAATCAATAGATTTTATAGAATCATTTATAATTGTTTATAAATACATTCAATAAATTATGCAATTATACGTTAGTACGTTCCAATACCGTGTAAACACTCCCTCCAGGTACTGTTTACATTTCCATAGTACCTTACAAGTGATTCTGATTCGAACCAAAATAAACAAATAGAATCGCTTGAGCTTATACGATTCTTTGAATCGTTTCCCACAGAATCGTAATTGCAGTGAATCAGCTCAGAGATTTACACTCAATTTCCCTGTGATCTGATAAGAGACGCGACCGTAACTGATCAGTCCATACACTGAAAACACTGGCATGTTTCTTCCAGTCTGTTTGTGCATAAATAACTAATAAACGTCTGTTACCTTTAAAGCCTCCGGGCGGCTACTGGACTCTCCTCCTGACCGCCGTTCTGGACAGTAAAATCCGTTTTGAGTTTAATTCCATACTCGGACGCTTCCCTCTCTCCGTCTCTCCACACACACACACACACTCACTCACTCTCAGCTGAGCTCAGACCAGACTGAGCGTCCACACCTCTGTGAGATCAGAGAGAGAGAGAGAGAGAGGAGAGAGAGAGAGAGACTCTGACCAGCCGCTAACTAGTGACTAAACTCACTAACACACGCCTGGAATATCTGGATCAGAGCCAAGAAGGACAACAACGAGAGAGAGAGAGAGAGACAGATAGATAGATAGATAGATAGATAGATAGATAGATAGATAGGGAGTGGGACACTTAGGCGTTCTCCCTAAAGGGCTACAAGTGGGTCACTTTAAAGAGGTTATACATACATACATACATACATACAACACACACACACACACACACACACACACACACACACACACACACACACACCCTCTCTCTCCTGTGCTGAAGGAAAGTCCCCTCCGTGAGGGGCGAGCACTAATTCCTGGTCAACACTTCCTGAGATTCAACTCCAGACAAGGCTTTTTTACAACACACACACTTATTGGTCAGAGATGCGGATACAGTGAAGTTTGGACATTGTCCCTGAATAACCGTGTGCAGCCCAACACACCCTCACAGAGAGAGAGAGAGAGAGAGAGAGAGAGAGAGAGAGAGAGAGAGAGAGAGAGAGAGAGAGAGATGTAGGTCACAGACTTAGCTTAACCTTGAGCTCTGACACACCCTATACATTATACATCCAACACACACACACACACATATACATTTATATACACCGATCAGGCATAACATTATGACCACCTCCTTGTTTCTACGCTCATTGTCCATTTTATCAGCTCCACTTACTATATAGGTGCACTTTGTAGTTCTACAGTTACAGACTGTAGTCCATCTGTTTCTCTGATACTTTGTTAGCCCCCTTTTACCCTGTTCTTCAGTGGTCAGGACCCCCATGGACCCTCACAGAGCAGGTACTATTTGGGTGGTGGATCATTCTCAGTACTGCAGTAACGCTGATGTGGTGGTGGTGTGTTAGTGTGTGTTGCGCTGGTGCGAGTGGATCAGACACAGCAGTGCTGCTGGAGTTTTTAAACACTGTGTCCACTCACTGTCCACTCTATTAGTCACTCCTACCTTGTCAGTCCACCTTGTAGATGTAAAGTCAGAGACGATAGCTCATCTGCTGCTGCACAGTTTGTGTTGGTCATCTTCTAGTCTTTCATCAGTGGTCACAGGACGCTGCCCACAGGACGCTGTTGGCTGGATATTTTTGGTTCGTGGACTATTCTCAGTCCAGCAGTGACACTGAGTTGTTTAAAAACTCCAGCAGCACTGCTGTGTCTGTCTATATATATATATATATATGTAAATAAAATTAGTTAATTTAATTAGAAATGTATTCAGGATATTAATTTTATTACAATTTCCTTCTGGGTTTTAAATTCTATTAGAACGTCTTTCTGGATATTTATTACAACCTTATAATGTATTTTAAATTAATTAGAAATTTACTCAGATATTCATTTTATTTTAACTTCATTCTGGATATTATTTTTATTTGATATTCATTGTAAAAATTCAAAAATTCAAGTTGAATCTCTATATTTAATTTATTTTAACTTCATTGTGGATTTTATTTTCAGAAATTCAATTAGAAATTTGTTCTTGATATTCTTACAGTACCGATATCACATTAGAATCATTTTATACACTTATCTGAAACTAAATTGGTATCATAAAATAATAAAAACAGTGATTTTAAAATGCTAAATGATAATTAAGTGTACAGGATTTTTAGCTTGCTTGAAACACATTTGTAGCAACATCTGTATTTCAGACCTGATAATTCTTTGAAACAGTTCAGTTTACTAAAGGCTGTGATGTGATTTTTGCAGAAGTCATTTATTTTTCCAATATAAAAACCAGCTTAGCCCTGGAGGTCCATATTTAGGCATGTTGCTGAACACAAACTGCTGCCCAATATCCAAACGAGGGCAGGGCCTGAGGTTAAAGGTCATTAAAGGCCGTTCTGATCCAGTGTGATTCATGAAATACCAGCGAGTGACTCAGCGATTACCCATCAGGACCTGAAGCCCGAGAGCTGGTCAGAAACCGGGGTGGGCGCTCAGACCGCAGGTCACATGACACCAGCCACTGCACGTTCGCCATAGCAACAGGAAACTGCACACACTTCCTGCTCCGGATGTTTGGAGATTAGGGAGCAAACAGGATGTGACATCACCCTCGGCTGTGGTGAGTAAGGTGCAGTAATCAGCAGCGAGTGAGGCAGCATTACATCAGAACTATTTATACAGCCTTAAGTTTATCATCCACACCTGATCCGTTCAGCTAATACAGCCGCAGCTACTCACTCTGACAAGGCAAACAGTCAATGACTCAACGGCACTGACGCTACAGCTCGCTCACGTACTACACCGACAGGCCCGCGGCCACGAACACGCAGACCCACCGGATCTAAACGCTTATGTGGAAGTGTCTTGAAAACGAAACATTCATATTGTTGCCTATGTATGAGTTTATTTCCAAAACAAAATATTTAAAAGGAAAAAAATGTAAAGTGCTGTGCCAAAGGCAGAGACTTCTTTTCTTTTATTTCCACTCAAAATGGTGCTAAACGTTGGTGTTGGCCAAGACTTTAGAGAGTACCTTGGATGGCAAGGAAAACCACTGGATCCTTGGCCAACTAAAGCCTCACCTCTCATTCAAAGCCCAGAAAACCAAACTGATTCTTATTTTGGACACATTCTGATAAGAACCACTTCACTGGAAAATCAGTCACTGCGTGGAGCAATTGGAAGTGGAAAAGGACGACCAGCTACAAGATGGCTGACACAATCACTTGAAAACCTAATATACATTTTTTTTTAGGAGATACTCATGAGGAGAATAGATATAAGACAACCCACTTGCATAATTATTAAAAGCTACAGACAGAGTTTGACTCCTAGCAATCACCTGGAAGAGCTGGTCGACCCCAAAACTGCCCCCATCAGATAAACAGCACTTAAAGCTTTCATCTCTGAGAGAGAGGAGAAAATCAAGCTGCTTCAGATCTGAAAACATCCACAGGTGTTTCTGTCCATCCTTCCACTGTGAGAAGATGGACAAACAACTGTGGAGCTTTAAGTGCTGTTTATCTGTTGGGGACAGTGTTGGTGTCTACCACGTCTTCTAGGTGGTTGTTAGGAGTCCCATTGTCTCTGAAGCTTTTAATTAATTAGTTTTGCTTATTTTCCTTTGGGTTTCCCCTTATTTATCTAGATGGATTATTTTATATACACACTCTCTTCAGAAATACCTTCAGAAATAATTCCTGGAGATTACTTCACAGCTTCAGATTTAACCAGAACAAAACAGCCTTCAGAGATTTGCTAATCAAAGTGTATGATGCACTGATGCAAAATGGCAATAAATTATACCGATTAATGCAGTATATGCTATATATCAGAAACAGACACAGAATATGGCCCTACAGTCCAAACCTAGCAATACTGCCCTAAAGTCCCAACCAAGCAATGAGCCCCACAGCCACAACATAACATAAAAGCCATAAAGCAATGACCAGAAGCAGAGCAAAGCAATACAGCCCTACAGTCGCAACCCAGCAATAAGCCCCACAGCCACAACATAAAAGCCCAAAAGCAACAACCAGAAACAGAGCTCTACCACCACAACCAGCAATACAGCCCTACAGCCACAACACGATACCGCCCTACAGTCCCAACCAGAAATACAGCCCTACAGTCAAAACCAAGCAATACATTGCTACAATCACAACTGAACAATAAAGCCTCACAGCCATGATACAGCATAAAAGCCCTATAGCAACAACCAGCAATAGAGCTGTATAACACTAGTCACAACACAGCAATACAGCCCTACAGTATATGCTATACATCAAACACAGAGACAGATATGCAGAGTTAAGTTTAGGGTCTGCTATGTGGAACACACAGAAACAGACCACAAATAACATGTAGGCCATTTTACCCACACACACACACACACACACACACACACACACACACACACACACACACTAGAGACAACTATAAATATACTGTGGTCTTTTACACATGGTTATAAATACACAGTGGTCAGTGCAGTATTGGGATCCCATGTGTTTAGTATTAAAGCTGAAACCACAGTCTCTGTAACGCAACCCAACTTTTCAGTCGCACGCGTGTGTGTGTATATATGTGTGTATGTGTGTATGTGTGTGTGTGTGAGTGTGTGTGTGTGTGTGTGTGTGTGTGTGTCCTGCTGAGACTGGTGATACTGGGTCATGCTTGTTGTCAAACAGCCCTCTGTATGTGGGGAGGGGTTTAATAAAAAATGAAATTTTGTTTGAAGCCTTGCCCATGCACACAGGGACATCAATAACGCTTCAGTAACAGTGTGTGTGTAATGTATGGTATGTCTGCAACTGTGTGTCTGTGTGTGTGTGTGTGTGTGTGTGTGTGTGTGTGTGTGTGTGTGTGTGTGTATGCAGTAGTAGGTTCCCATGCTGAGAGCTGAGCCACAGGCTTTGGCTCCACTCTGTCTTCAGAGAGTATCACCACATGCCTCACAAGCAGCTAAACCCCAATACATCCCTACAGTCAGAGCACAGCTATACAGCCCTACAGTCACAACTAGCAATACAGCCCTATAGTCCCCACCAGCAACACAGTACTAGTGAACCAACCAGCAATATAGCCCTACAGACCCAACCAGCAAAACAGCCCTACTGTCCCAACCCAGAGACGCAGCCCTACTGTCCCAACCCAACACAGCCCTACTGTCCCAACCCAGAAATAAAGCCCTACAGTCCCAACCCAGCAATAAAGCCCTAGAGTCACAACCCAGCAATACAGCCCTACAGTCCCAAACCAACAAGATAGCCCTACTGTCCCAACCTAACAATAAAACCCTACAGCCACAACCCAGCAATGAAGCCCCATAGCCACAACCCAGCAATACAGCCCTACAGTCACAACCAACAATACAGTGCTATACTCACAACTCAGCAATAAGTCACACGGTCACAACTTAACATAAAAGCCCTGAAGCAACAACCAGAAATACAGCTCTACAACCACAACCAGCAATAAAGCCCTACAGCCACA